ATAAAAGAGTGCTAAGCCAAAGACTACCCAGTTTAAGGGGAGGAGAAAGGAGATTCCGTGTCAGAGGCGAAAGAAAAAACTAGAAAAAGAACACAGAATCCCTGGGATAGGAAGTTTCAAGGAGGAAAGTTTGATCTACAGTGTAAAACACAGCAGCAAGGTCCAGTGCCACAAGTGCTGACAGAAAGCTGGATTTGGTCTTACTGAAGTCACTGGTGGCTTTTGCCAGAGAGATTTCGGTAAAGAAGTGGGGGCTAAAGCCAGTTGTGCATTTAGGAGCAAATGAACATAGGTTCCTAGGACTTAAAAGCTTTCAAGAGTCTACAAAAATGCCTAAGAGCTGAAAACTAAAAGTAGTTTTTAATTAAAATTAATATATAAAAATTAGCATCATTAATTGACAAATGTAGTATTATGCATTTCATTTCATCTGAAAACAATTTCTAGGTTAGGTTTTTCAATTTCACAAAAATTCCTAAGTAAGCATAATGATTGCCAAGAAATAATCAATAGTAAGTGAGACACTCATTGCTGGTCACTTCAAAAGTGGAAGTATGAAAATCCTGTCAACAAATTAGCTCTATTTAATCAGAGATGCAGATCCACTTTATAGATTCAAATGATATGGCTGAAACCTCCCACGTAGAGTACCCTGGGACTGGAATGGCCTTCAAATGGCCATGGTGAGTGGACGCTTAAGGGGACACTAACAGCTTGGCTAGGAAGGAAACAGAAATGTAAGAGAGAAGTTAAAGGAAAATACAGGATAAAGGAAGAATTTACAGGCTGAAAGTCAAGAGAGACTTGGAGAATGATGATATAGGAGAGAAAAGAGGGAATTCCACAGAGCCAAGTCCTGAAGGAAACAGGAGTGTGTTAAGAGCACTCATGGCCAAGGGTGGCAGAAGAGCAATGGGTGCAGACACAGAGGTACAGGCTTAGGCACACCTGCAGGCCTGCAGTGGAAATTGAGATAATTTGTGCGTGAGCCCTATAACTTTTCTTTTTTTCAAGAGAGAAGTAAGACCTTTTACTGAAAGTCCAGGGAATAGGACTGTTGAGGTGGATTGAGAAGAGAAGCAAAGGTTGGGAATAGTGAAGAATAGCATAGTATTTTCAAGAATGTTCTCTCATGTAATTCTTATAATCACCTGAGCTTATAAGGACATATACTACTAATTCCATTTACATATAAAAAAACCCTGGACTCTACGATATACAGAAAATAAATTGCCTATCAGAATTTATTTTCCAACTATATGTTAAATATATTATTTAATTATAATTTCAGTTTTTTCAAATGCTTACAAATAAACCTCTGGTACTTTTGATCTTGTAGCATGCCATCGAAACATGACCCAAGCCATTTCTCTCCCCAGAAGCACTAAACATCTATCCCATCTCCAGTCCTACTCAGGAGTTAGGAAAAAAGCAAAGCCTAATGCTTAAAAGTGGAGACAAAAATAAGACTGTAAGCCCCAAATTGTGATGAATTCAGAGCATGATTAGGTACCTACAAGATTTTAGAATAGTATAGTCCACATTCAAAGGTGCAGTCTTAATGAATTTTCCTGAAACAAATCTACATCTACAAAACTAAGGCATTTCCCAATTTCCGGTGGTGTTCAGGGATGCTTCAGTATATAGATGAAACCGGGAGTGGTCAGTAGGATTTAGATCATAATGATAATCCTGAAAAGAAACTAGAGATAGTCACCAAACTTCCCCCTTTCATCAGAAACAGAACAGTGAAATGGATTTACGATGTTCCTGATTGACAGGCTCCAAAAATCAGAAAGACTGAATTAAAACTGTTAAGGACACTAAAGATGAGATCATCAAAAGAGCAATGCCCAGGATCACAGAAGGTCTTTGAAATCCAAGGACTAGATTCTATATCTGGAAATCCCTTTTGAGCCTGCAAGTGACACTATGTAAGAGAAAAGATTCAAAGTTCTTCTTCTTCTTCATCCTGCTCAGCCCATTTGGAGGATCTGTCACTACTGGCCATCCACATCTGGTTGAAATCCTCTCCGCCAGTTTCTGTGACATACAGCACGCTCTGGGGTCTCCTTTAGGTGGGCCGTTCCCTTCTTCCTTCCAACATTAATTCTCTCCCGAAGAGACTGTCTTTTTGCTCTTCTTATCTAAACTTCTCTCCCTTTGGTGTATTTGCTTTTATGGATTGCATTATCACTAAGTCAATGGCCTTCAAATCCACATTTACAGCCCTAACCTCCCGCCAATGGTCTAGCTCCACACTCCCGGTCTGGAAACATTTGGATAGCGAACAACTGATAACTTCTCTTCTTGTCTGCCATGTTGCCATTCTTTGACTCCCATACTACAAATTCTATAATCATTCTTTACTACTTTATAGAGACTATTAAAAAAATCCAAAACCTCGTTATGGTATCATTTTAATTCAGAGCTGGAAGCCTCAGTGTGATTATGGTTCCTAGTTTGTCTGCCTGCTTGTACTGGAGTATTGGATCAGTCAAAAAATAAATAAATAAATAAAAATTAGGGCATGTAATTTCTCTTAAGACATTGTAATTTATTCTATTAGAAGTACAGTATACATAAACAAAGTTATACAGCTTCTCTCATAACAAATACCAACTCAGAAATAAAGGCGAGAGGATTTCCGGGTAGTTGAGGCAAGGAAGTCATGTAAACCTAAAATTCTTAGTGTAGCCTCACAAAACCAATATAGAACAACAAAAGGAACAATTAAAACTACACAAAACTTGGCCTTTAACGCATCCAAACTTCTAATTTTACATGTAAAAAGAAAAATAAAAACAGGATACCAATGAGCTGTCTCCCATATTCCAGCTGCCAACCTTTCTGGGCAGCAAAGGCAGTTTAGGAAAAACGAAATTGAATAGAGAAGGAGCAGAGACACAAAGTCTTCATTTATTAAAAAGTAAAAAACTACTATAAAAATAAAATGGATACTATAATTCAAACAATTCACCAAACAAAAGACTCATTTCAAGAAAACAAATAACAAAGTAGAAGAAAACTTAATATAACATTCTAAGCTGAATTAAATATCTTCAGACAAGGATTTTGGGACATAAAACAAAAATCTTGATCAATGTGGTAATAAGAATATACTTCATCTTTGTCCCTGGTTCCTGGCACAGAGCTCCTAAAATCCTTGGAATTTCCTGAATGATAGGAAAGTCTTTTATTATTCATAAGGAGCCCCTTTTGAGCACACCTGAATTTATGCTAATGAGGTGATTTAGGATGCAGCCCTACATAACCCCAGGATGGGGCTGGTCACCAGAAAGACCCAGAGATTCGAGGGTTGGAATTTTCAACCCCAACCACTGACCTCTGGGAGGGGGAGCTGAAAATTAAGCTCCATAAAAACTCTTGAACAGTAAGATTTGATGAGCTTCATGTGCTGGCAGGGTGGTTCACCCCAGTTCATGGGGTCAGAAGCTCCTGCACTTGGAACTTTACTGACCTCACCCTACCTCTTCAATTGTCTGTTATCTTTACCCTTTATAATATCTTTTAAAATAAACTGGTAAATGTTAAGTAAATGTTTCCCTGAGCTTTGTGAGCCATTCTTACAAATTATCAAATCTGAGGAGGCTCACAGGAACCTCCAATTTATAGTTGGTAGGTCAGCAGTACAAACCTGGACTTGCCACTGGCATCGGAAGTGGGGGCAGTCCTGTGGAACTGAGCCCTTAACCTGTAGGATCTGATGTTATCTCCAGGCGGATATTATCAGAACTAAGTTAAATTTGTAGGACACCCAGCTAGTGTCTGTTGAGAACTGGAGAATTGCTTGGTGTGGGAAAACCCCACACAGGTGGTCTCAGAAATACTGACAGTAGAGGAGAAAAATAAAGTTTTCCCCTTACAATCAGGAATTCAAAAACAAAGAAAAGAAGTGGACAAAAACAGAAAGAAGTGAAACAGAGCTGAATGAACACAAGAAAGAAATAAAAGAAAAAAGACAAAATCATATCAGAAAAGACAAAATTACGTGGTGCCCAAAAAATACATTTATATGAAAACATAATAAGGGCACTGAAGGCAGCAGAAAAACAACCAAGAGAATGAAAATGAGATAAAGAAAAAAGTAAAAAGTACTAGAGAAAAGTGTTTGATATAAGACAGGTAAAAGAGATTCAATTTATGTATAATTAGAGTCCCTGTAGAAAATAAAACAACGGATCAGAACTAATATTTCAAATTACAATCCAAAAAAACATTTTGGAAATAAAAGAAGACCCAAAGCTACATATTTTAAAAGCCCACTGAACCCTTTTACCTACAGCAGGTAGAACTGAAACCACAACAATCGGAGTTCCCAGGAAAAGGATCAAATAACTTACAAGGACAAGAGAATTAGGCTGACTTCGAAATTCTCAAAAACAACAGAGAGAACAAGGCCAAAGTAGCATCTTCAAAAACTCCAGAAAATAAATGTAAATTAAGGAGTTTATATTCAGCGAAGCTACCTTTGAAGACTCAAGGAGATAGAAAAATAGTTTTAGACATGCAAGGACTCCTAATCATCAGCCCTTCTTAAGGAATCTACTTGAAGAAAAACTTCATCAAACCAAGAGATGAGGGGGAAGTTTCAGCCAAAAAATCGAGGATGAGCATTTAATATATTTAGTTATGTACCTAAAAGCAAAACAAAAGTGGAAACGAGAGTGGAAGAATATCATATGGCAATGCCATATGCTATATTTTGCACATTCTGCCAAAGGATAAATAGAACAATTCACAATGTGATGGAGAAGGGAGAGGGGGAAAAAGGGAAGCAGAAAAAGTGCACTGGCTGTATATGTAATAGGGAGTTAAAATAAATATCATTAAAAACTCACAAACCAGTGGCAAATTTTCAAATGTGTCCAGATCACATTTTTTCATGTTAGTAAGATAAATACATTATCTTTCATAAAAGTTGCAAAGATGCAAATGCTAAAAGTTTCACAATGAAACTTAATAAAAAACTACTGTACCTTACAGTAAAATCATAGGAGCAAGAGGCCAGCACCGAAGCATGAAATGGTGAAAACTACAAAAAAAAAAAAAAAACCTTTTTGAAATTAGTTATAATTATAACATGCTACTTCATACGGTCATTTCCATGAACATGACAACATGACAATTAATAAAGTCTAGTTAGGGCTGTCACTTAAAATTACGCTCTCCCAAACCTCATATGCTTTAATTAAAGGCAAAAAACTTCTGGTCTTTTATGTATCATCTACTGGAAAAACATTCATTTTTACATTCTCCAAAGAAAGTCTTCACTCAAGCTTTTTAGAACTTATTTAGAAGAAAGTATTCCCAAAGTATGACTATGCTGGAAAAATTAATTACAATTTCATATTGGCTATCCAAAAATGACTCCTACAAATGTAGGGGATTTAAGTATGTGATAGTACAAATATGAATTTATTATACTTATCAATTTTACAAATACATATTATGATTGCTATAAGCATAAGTATCGAAAAAACATTTAAATGTTAACTAAAATATCTTTAATGAGACACAGCTAATGAGAAATGATATAAAGGACAAAATCTAAAAATTTAAAGAGTATCTTTTAGATAAGTAATAAATAACCCACATAGGCAGCCCTTTGCAATTATATTTCTTAGTGTTTTTTTTACTAGTACTTCAATAGTTATATACACATAATATCTACATTTACAAACTTTCTAGTTTGTAAAATACTTTCTCTATGTTACCCTGTTTCATTCTCAGAAGCACTGTGAAATGTATATAGAAAATACTTTTCAACTACTAAAACCTGTGTGCCATTAACAAAACAAAACAAAAAACTTAGGGCACTGTGTCTCATATGTTAAGTTATAGCAAATAAAATTGAAGATATCAATTTAACTGAAATTTAGAATTTTTGAAATAAGAATAAGAGTTATCTTATTGAGAAGATCAATAAGGTACTTTTTTACTCTAACAGTAAAAAACAAAGAATGAAATTCGGAGATGTCACTTAATAAGATGTTTTCTACAGTGACTTAGCAAAACCTTCCTACATAAAAGCTGGGAAACTAAATTATGGCACTTATAAGCAGACAAATTTCTTAGGAGTAGCAGAAAAAAGTTATCTCATCTTCAGCTGTTTACAGAGTGGAAAATATTCTATACCCCAAACATCTGTAAACATTCATATATATTATCACGTTAGGGAAAAGAAAGAATTAACCATTTCTCTATATGAGTTGCAACAAAGTAAAGAGACCTCCCCACTGAATGGAAAATTATAAAGAATATACTACTAAAACTAATTACTATAGTTAACAAATATTAAAAGGAATAGTAGATTGGGGATGACAGAATGAAAAAACCATTTCTATTTAACCTTAAAATGACTACATTGTCTGATTGGCTACATCGTCCCAATTCATTCGAAAATTATTCAAGTATTTTACCTAATTTTAGCTTTCAGTGTTTACTATCATTAGTTGGGTAACAAAAACACACATAACAAAGAATCAATAACCCAAATCCCTAAGCACCTTTTATATATACTTAATTGATTATATTTATATTTGTATTCTATGCATAAAATGAAAAGATAAAAACTTACTTTCACTCTTCTAATAGCATAAGTGTGACCAAGAAGTTCAAACACTGGTTGTCGAACATTCCTCAAGTCCCAGCCTCTCAAACTACAGTCAACTGCCCCCGTCACCAGCAAATTCTGAAAACAATTCAGAGAAAAGTAAGCTGAGCCAACTTTGCAATTGAGCAGCATCCAGGCTTTCCTACTGGGGAGAATCTATTCTCTGATCTTATTTAATCAGAACCCAGGAGTCATTCTTGAGAAGTTATATGACAAGAAAAGGATCAAAATACACATCAAAAGGCAAAAATTAGTATGACTTGAGAGAAAAGGAACTCCATATGCTTTATGTATGTGATGGAACACTACACACAACAGAAAAAGGCATGCATCGTCCCAAACAGCATTGTGGCTTTTCCATTCCACCTTTAGTAATATTAATAAGTACATAAAGGATTAAAAATTATATCTGACAAATGAGATCACCTTTCTCTTCAGCTTACTCTGAGGTTTACCAGGCATTAAAAGGCAAAATGCCTGTTAATTTAGGAATATTTGAAAGGGCAAAGGGTATAAATTAAATCTTTATATGTTTTTCTAAATCTAAATCAATCATTGCTCACAACTCTCATAGGCCCTGTCTTAATGTAACATCTAATCATATTTGAGAATCTATGCAAATAATGGGAAGTCTCCTATCTAGTCAGGTTTTACAAATTCTGCTATCTACAGACCCAAGTGAGCCCAGAGTTCCTGGCTGAACGGGCCAAGCGCTGGGTTCACACTCAGCCCCATTCCATGTCTACCAGAGCAATAATAGTTCATTGTCTGAATGTGTAGGGCTTCAGTATAAATAAGCACATCTGAAGAAATGTTTCCATGATTTACAAAATAAAATTTGTAAACCGCTCTCAAGAGTATATTGGCATCTTTTTTTTAGAATTCCAAATGTGTAACATATAGTCCACAATTTCATTTTCCTATATGGAAAATTCATTTATGATGAATGAGATGTGAGCTGTAGTTATCAGCATTGAAATTTTTATTTTGGTCAAGTATTACTATTGACTAGGTACTGAGTTTTCTTTTAATCTACTTGACTTCTTTTTATTAAAAAAAAAAACTCTGCCAATATAATATTCTCTTAATTTTCATTCATTAATTTAAAACTGGGAAAAAACAAGGCATAAATTTTACCTGTCACAGTCAACAGACCACGTTAAGTATGGAAATATACATAAACAGTATATCAACACGTATCTCATCCACTGCTATTTGTAATCCACATTCCACATGCCATGTGGTTAACTGAAGCTCTGCAGAAGGTCACAAATGGACACTGCTTTCTTACAGAAGCATGAAGCTTGGTTCAGCTTATAGGGGAAGGTGAAACAGGAAATTTTTTAAACTGATGGACTGTTAAATTAAAAATCAATCTACAAATAGTTCAGCAGCCTGACTAGCAAAGTGAACAAGAATAGAAAGCAAAAGATGATACAAATTGGCGGGGTTAAGAGCAATAAAGAAAAAAATTTTCATAAATTCTACAGCAGTTTCCCAAGCAAACAAGTAAGGCTGCCCCGCTGAACTTTGAGAATTTCTATTTCTTATTCTGCCTGGTTTCTGTGCACTTAAATCAAATTAATGCTAATGCAGGTCACTCACAATCATCAATTAGAAATGAAAGGGTCTGCATTAAACTTAATGGTCCATAAACACTACCCAAGTCCACATAAACAAAGATAAAATAAAATCTAAAACATTTCATCTTTATGAAGGGCTCAGCAGCTCAGGACAGAGCCAGATGGGGTACCTCATTGTATTTACACCAGTCACAGCTCAAAATTTCTGCTTGATGTGCTGGAACCACAATTCTGACGCCTGTTGCCTTCACATCCCAAATTCTCAGAGTCTGATCACCTGGTGAAAGAGGAAGGCTTGATCACTTTCCATCACAACACTTGGAGGTTCTATAACGTATGGTGCTCATGATGATAAATCAAGGGAAAATACACTGCTTTCGCTGTTAGGATACTGCCAGCTATTGTATATATCATATATGCATATACAGTAAAACCTTGGATTCCAAGTAACTTGGTTTGCAAGTGTTCCACAAGACGAGCAAACATTTCTAATACATTTTAACATGGTAAACAAGCGATGTCTTGCAATACGAGTAGTTTGTTTCTGGAACGAATTATGCTCACAAACCAAGGTATTACTGTATATTGTTTTTAATTAAAATAATGCATAAGAATTACTGAAAGTGATGAACTAAAAAAAGTAATGCACCATGATAATGTTTTTTATTTATTATTTTTATTTTTATTTTTTTAAAGATTTTTTTATTGGGGAATTGGGGGGATGGGAACAGTGCTGGGGAATTGGGGAAAGGGGAACAGACAAGTTGCTGTCGTTTTGTTCTTCAATCTACTTATGGAGGATGTTGCTTCACTGGCCCAAGTTGGCACCATCATTGTGCTCTTCTCTGGCGAGGCAGATCAGTCGCCGGCTTCTGGACGGCCGCTCACTGCGGCTGCTGGCTGCTCACGCTGGCTGCTGGCCACACACGGTAGCCCATGGCAATCCACTGCCACAGGGACTGCAGCCCACGCCGTCGCCGGTGACCCATGGCAGCCCAGCTCCAGGTTGAGCTGTTGTTCAGCATCTTAGCTGTAGAGGGCAGTGTCTCGGGCCCTCATATGTGGGATCCGAACCGAGGCCCTCTGGCATCCCAAGCGAGTTCTTAACCATCGCGCCACTCGGCCGGCCCATGATAATGTTTTTTAGATCTACTCAAATCCAGAAAATCTGATCTCACACTGAGAAAAAGCAGTGGTGACTAAACACACAACCAGTGCATTTTTCTTCAGGAAAAGGCCCTGAAAATCCTTGCTTCTAGTAAATAAAGTTAATACCCTGTACCAGCATATTCTACAAGAAACAAAATGGTAACAATTTTACTGTTAAATGTAAACAAACTCTACCAAGCCAAAACGGAGATTTTTAAAATCTTAGCTTTTATTAAAGTTTACTTGGCCAGCCAGAGGAATATTTTTCTCCTTGAAAAAAAGAGTTGAAAAAATTTAAGGATTATACTTTGTATTATTACAAAAATGGTTTATATTGCTTAGCTGCACAAAGTCACCCGATTAAATGTTTTGTAAACTATGAGAAAACAAAATGACCAGATGAATAAAACCCAGAAAAAAAAAATTATACACACACACACACACACACACACACACACACACACACACATCAAAAGTAAATTACAAACAGTAACATCACGGGAGAAAGCGAGTTATCTTGATAAGAATGTGGTCTGGGCTGGTGGCAGTCTTGAATTTCATTAATAGTTGTATGACTCTGTACAATATATATAGTATCTCTGAGGCTGATTCCTCATTGCTAAAAAAGAAATAGAATGCCTTCATGCAGAGCTGTACAAGAATTCTGTGTAATGAAGTTTCTGTAAAGCACCTAGCATGGCTGCTAGCACAGAGTAGTTATTTTAATATATGGTATATAAAAATGCTAAATTTTTAAATTATCCTTTACTTACCTACACATATTTTCCTGTATTTCAAATTCTAAATCAGGTCATTTAGCAAAATTTAGCTATTTTGGAAAATTTTTTTCCTGATTTCTTTGGAAGCTGCTTAAGAAAGATAAGAATTAAATTGTTGGTGGTAATAAAATGTAGAGGTTAAGATCAGGGGCTTTGGAGTTCCAGTGCTGGGTTCTAATCCAGCTTAATCATTTGGTAGCTGCTCATGTTAATCATTAAGTTATTTAACTTCCCTGATTCTTCTTTTCCTTACCTATGATAGAATATCTTCCTTACAAAGTTGTAAGTTGAAGTCAGTATAAAGATGAGGTAAGATAAGGTTAAAAACATAAAATAAGAAAACGTACCCATGATTAGAAGTCATTCCTGTCCCTATTATTATTATGAATAACAAGCTATTTACTGAGTGATTACTATGTGCCAGATGGTGGTCTAGACGAGCATTTTATATGTGTTAACTTATTTTATTTAATTTATTTTTTTTAAGATTTTTATTGGGGAATTGGGGGGATGGGAACAGTGCTGGGGAATTGGGGGAAGGGGAACACACAAGTTGCTGTCGTTTTGTTCTTCAGTCTAGTTGTGGAGGATGTTGCTTCACTGGCCCAAGTTGGCACCATCATTGCGCTCTTCCCAGGTGAGGCAGATCAGTCGCCGGCTTCTGGACGGCCGCTCACTGCGGCTGCTGGCCGCTCACGCTGGCTGAGGGCCGCTCACGCTGGCTGCTGGCTCCACACGGTAGCCCATGGCAACCCACTGCCACAGGGGCTGCAGCCTACACCATCGCAGGCGACTCATGGCAGCCCAGCTCCAGGTTGAGCTGTTGTTCAGCATCTTAGCTGTGGAGGGCAGTGTCACTGGCCCTCATATGTGGGATCCGAACTGGGGCCCTCTGGCGTCCCAAGCCAGTTCTTAACCATCGCGCCACTCGGCCGGCCCTGTGTTAGCTTATTTTAAACATCACAAGTGAGGCAGAAATTTTAATATAAAAAGTAGTTTTTGTAGTAATTTACAAAGGAGGAAACTGAAGCACATGGAGATGAAATATGTCGCTCAAGAAAGCAAGTGATGGAATCTAGCTGGAACCAGGACCAGGCAGTCTGGCTCCCAGCCTGTGTGTCTATAGCCACACTCAGATGCCTCCTCATGCTGCTGGAGAAGCACCATGCAATTCTGGCTGATTCTTGGGGAATTAAGTCTTTTAACTTATATGGTAATTTTTCTATAAACTGGGGGGTGGAGGGGAACATTTAAACACACACACACAACATTCATATTTGCCCCAGAGTTGTTTTAGAAATAAAAGTTAATAAAACATTGCAGTTGAAACCTCTATTGTAGTTCTAATTCCATGCCCCATCTCCTTGCCCAGAGGCCACCAAATCATTTGGTATGCATCCCTTTAGTCTGTATTTTTGTAATACTTTTATTATGAAAAGTATGTAACACTTTTTATGAATCCATAAATACATACTATTGTTTTTTTGTGTGGCATTTTACATTTTTTATTTAAAAACACCATCCTACTACTTGACAAAAGGTTGAAAACCACTCTGATAGAAGAGAGTAACTAATATTTTTGGATCTAGTTAAGAATGATAGGGATAAGAACTATGAGTTTAAAAGAACCAACCGGAAATTGTTCAGAATCGGTACAGATTAGAGCTTCGAATATCTTCAGGGGTCCTAGCTAAATTTACTGTTTGTGGTCTAGCCGCCAGTCTGTAGGATTTATTTTAGAATTCTAAATAACTTTGATAAAATGATCTTTCATGGTTTTCCCTAGCCTTCAGAGTATAGTAAGTCCTCACTTAATGTCATCAATAGGTTCTGGGATTTTTAAGCAAAATGACTGTAGAACGAAACCAATTTTACCATAGGTTAATTGATATAAACAAGATTTAAGTTCCTACTATGGCATCTTACCAATGTTGTAATGAAACGACGTTATTCGAGGACCTGCTACATAAAGTAGGGTGCTGTGGGTGTCTAGTGTTTGCTCTCTGTCCAGCAACACTCTTGTAGGAACAGTCCTGGCTTTTTGCCATGTGATTCTAGAAAGACGTATGGTTCAACACAGTTGATCAACTGGCAGTGGCAGGTCTACAACTGATAAGAAAAGCTGACCAGACAGTGGTAGTTCCACGCAAGGCCAGTCACAGTATCTTATTCCCTGTCTTAACCACAGCTGACAGGTCAAAGGTAGATACTTGAAATTTTTCTAAACTAGAACTGAAAAAATGTCAGCTCCTCTCTGATGATAGAGTTTACAGGTTATAAAACTGAGGAGCTACTGGTAGCCATGTCTCTCACTGTATGGAGAAAGCCAGCCTGCAGGGTCAAGACAAGCAGAGAAAATTTTGTCCAGATTAGAAACAGGGAACGTGTCCTGGGAATGGCTGTTCAAGCATCCCTCCCCTTTCTAGGGTTGCTTTTCAATAAACTCTACAAAAACCTAAGATAGTTCAAGTTCTATTGTATCATCTGTAGGCAAAGGAGATCCCTGCTCATCTTGGAGAAAGGGACGATGAAGTTCACTTGAAGCTTCAGTCTCTAAAAAGCCTAGCCTCAGACAAAAACACTTGATTTGGCATGAGGCTTCCACTAAAACATAGGAAATGCCTAAATAAAGTACACTAGCTTTCAAAATTTAATTTAATATTAGGTCTGAAACTGTAAAGTCTGATATAGCTATGACTACAGCATTGTTTATAGTTCACCCTAAAAGCTGTGCTCACCTTAAAATGTACATTATATGGGTATGTGAATAGTTTAAAGTACCAAAACATTAAAATGCATGTTGACTAGGAGATTAAGAAGTAACAGTTATTCTAACAATGATATGGATGAATCCCAAAACACATAATGTTGAGCAAAAGAAACTGGACACAAAAGTATAAAAACAGGCAACATCAACCTATGCTCAGGCAACATCAACCTATGCTATTAGAAGGCAGCACAGCGGCGCACGCGTGCGTGCGTGCGTGCATGCGTGTGTGTGTGTGTGTGTGTGTGTGTGTGTGTGTAGGGGGTAGTGTGTGGTAATGACAGGGAGGATGTGAGGAGGGCCCCTAGAAACATTCTGTTTCTTGATCGGGGTGCTAGGATACTTATAGATTCATTGTAAAAATCCACCACCATCTATACTTATGATTATGCACTGTTCTGTGTGTGTATTATACTTCAATAAAAGATCAAACCAAACAACAAAGGCTGTCTGAATGCTTATTCTAAATTTCTCTAGGACAATATTTCGGTTCTTCACCATCATAATGAAGCAACATTAAAAAAAAGTGCCATCACTTGTCCCCTCTTGCAGTTAATTTAAAGGGCACAAAAAAGCGAGGGC